ATTGATAGCTGTAAAAGAAGTTTAAAATGCGTCTTACTGCATAATGGAAATAAATTTGCATCAATTCCAATTGCCCATTCTACAAAACTCAAAGAAGAATATGAAAATGTCAAATTAGTTTTAGAAAAAATCAATTACTCGGAGCATCAATGGTCGATCTGTGTGGATTTAAAAATGGTTAATTTTTTACTTGGTCAACAAAGTGGATACACGAAATACCCTTGCTTCATTTGTATGTGGGACAGTAGAGCAAAGCAACGTCATTGGGAACAAGATGTTTGGCCTGAAAGAAATTCTTTAACTGTCGGTAAAGCTAATGTAATAAGAGGGCCGTTGGTGAGCAGAGACAAAATTATACTTCCACCATTGGATATTAAGTTAGGAATGATAAAGCAATTCGTAAAAGCTTTGGACAAGGAAGGAGATTGTTTTAAATATATTTGTAGAGCAAATATGAGTATCAAGTTACACTATCTTCGAAACCATTTGGATAAATTTCCAGATAATTTAGGAAATTATAGTGAGGAGTAGGGAGAGCGGTTCCTCCAGGATCTAAAAGTAATGGAAGAAAGATATCAGGGTCGATGGGATTGTCACATGATGACCGATTACTGCTGGTCTTTAAAAAGAGATCCTCCTCTGAAAAATTATAAAAGAAAAGCTCTTGAAAGGTGTTTCATGGAAATATAACAGGTTTTCGAAATTTCCCTCTCTATTTACTTCAAAGTATCATATTTTTCTCCAAATAAAACTGATATTATAAATATATCTGTTATTTTGTTTCTTGTTTTCGAATTTTTAAAAGAAAACGAGAGCAAATCTTACAAAACCATTGATAATTTCATGAATTGTGAGTATAAATACACCCAAAATCAATCTTATATCCAGGGCAACAAAACCACTGTAGACCAGTGTTATCAATGAAGTAGTATCAATGTTTCACCCTGTATAATATTCGAAAAAAGTTACTGTCCTCCGAAATCGGTCAATCATCCTCACCAGCGCGTTCAGTAACTTCGCATTGTTTGTTTCGCCAAATCATTTTACTTCAATGGCCGGTCGTTGGTCTTCGTGAGAGTTGTTTGTTGCTGCTATTCGTAGAAAACCCCCCGAAAAACATTTCATTGAAATCCACTCGACACTGATTAGTCATGGTAAATAAAGGTTGACTAACCGGCATCACTGGTACTTCCCGGTACCGCAATTTGTTTTCAGCATTCATCGCTGAAAACTCTTTGTCAACAAAAACAGTACGGTGGAACGCAGTGGAATTGCAGCCTTTGCAATTCCAGCGACTTGATTGTGCCAAGACATATTGGTGTCCACTTTAACCCCCAACAAACTTATCGAAGCAGAAAGCGGAGTTGTCTGACCTGACATTATTATATCCGGTTCGGAGACATTTATCTTCTTGGAAAAAACCGATGCCTGGGTTTTTGTGGCATTGAATTGAACCGGGTTACTTTCATCCCAATTCAAAATCACTTCTAGATCCTCCTTAAGATATGCAACCTCCTGTTGCCGGTGATGAAGATGTTCAACCGTAGCCGATGTCCTGGAATCCAAATGAAATGACGAGACAACAAAGCAATACAGGGCTTTTCATGATGAGCGTTAATCAGCCGTTTCTGGCAAACTATTCAACGGATCAACCTGAAAATTCCAGAGTATGCATAAGTCAATATGACCTACACGCCTAAAATATTTTAGACGAAGCGGCGTTGTCGCTTCTACTATAAAGTAGCGGCTTCTTTGATTTTTCAAATGGAACACCCCGTATATAATATCATATTATGATTCATTATCACTTTGTCAACAAATTCATATACTA